CACGCGAGCCTTGAAAGAGGACTCCGCATCTGAGAAGCGAACCGCTTTGCCACCGACGTGCCCGTTGAAATATGCTGAAAGCCGCTCGTGCAGCGGCGTCCCACGGCCGACCTGCCGCAAATCTGAAAATTCAACCAACGGCTTGTCCCCAGCACCCTGCGCCCTATCTAGGAGCCAATCGTCGACAGCAAGGGCTGCCCCAGGGACGGGCGACAGCGGCGTGAACTCTGCCGAAGTCTCTCCTGCACGACGACCGCGCGGGCCAAGCTCCCCAGCAGCGACAACCTTTGGCGGGGCGCGCGAAGGGCGGGGCGCCCAAGCGCGGCAGGGTCGCTGTTTCCCAAAGCCATAAAGACGCACACATTGCCCTAACGAGAGTAGGGGAGCGATGGGGGGGGCGAAGCAGGGAGGGAGGGAACCGAAAGAGAGCCTACGGAGTCCAGGGGTCCCCCATTAAAGTTGGCCCCCGCTGGGCGGCCAAAAGGTCTCGGGGGCGCCCCCAGGAGGGCCCCAAGGTGCTCTGTGTGTTTTTATGTTCCTCGAGGGGCGGCGTCGGGGCGCCCCGCGTGGGCCCCGAGAAAGCCCCAAGATGCCCAAGATCGCCCACGGTGGGGTGCATTGGAATCCAATGCATTGTTTTTTTTTCTGGTCCTGGAGGGGTCCAATATGGCCTCGGGACGCCCCGCGCGGGGCCCAAGAACGCCCAAAGTTGCCCAAGACCGCCCGCGGTGGGGCGCACTGGAATCCAGTGCGCTGTTTTTCTGGTCCTGGAAGGGCCCAAGGCGGCAGCATGACCTCCAGGACGACCCACTAAATCAGCAGATTGCCATGCTGCGTTGTTTCCAAGATGCCCCCAGGGTGCCCATGGGCTCCTCCAGGCAGGCCTCAAGCGGCCGCGCGGCCTCCCCTCTGGACGCCCCATATCATCATCATCATCATCACCACCATCGTCGTCATCACCATCACCATCAGCATCGCCGTCATCATCATGGCCTCGTCGGCATCATCATCATCAGCATCACCTCGTCGCCATCATCATCATCGCCATCATCATCATCATCATCACCATCATCATCATCATCATCATCACCAGCATCGCCATCAGCACCAGCATCCTCACCGTCATCATCACCATATCCGTGGCCATCGTCGCGGGCATCATCGTAAACGTCGTCGTCGTCATCGTCACCATCACCGCCGTCATCGGCACCACCGCGTATCCGCCATGGCAATGGTCACTGACATCGGACATCGTCGTCATCATCATCAACATGATTCCACTCTCCTGCCACCCGTCTTCTCAATACTCATCCACCTAGTCCTTCCTCGTATCCTCTTCGTCCTCCTCCCCGTGAAGCGTTCCCATCCATCTGCTAATCGTCCTGACCTCCTCTGGCCCCTCTCCCCCATCTCAGTGCCCTGCTCTTTCCAATGGCCCGCGACCTCCATGCCAGCGTCGAGCGCCTGGGCATCGCCAATCGCGAGCTGGCCCAGCGAGCGCTCGGTGGCCGCGACATGCTTCGCGGCAACAGACCGCGCCTCTAGGATGGCACGGTCGGCCTCGGGTAACTGACCGAACGCTTGGTTGCATTCGTCCCACCCCTGGTGCCCAGCGTAGCAGTTGCCCAGGGCGCGCTGATCGGCAAGCCACTGTTTCCGAAAAATCTGCTTGGCGCTGCGCCCGATCTTCTTGGGCAAGCGCGCTTGCTCCGCAGCGCGTGCAGCGACAGCGCCGCCACAGCCAGCGGCGCTGGCGACCTGGTCGCCGACGGCCCCGCGGTGCCTGGCGCTCGCGTTGACCTCGGCCCCGACGAAGTCGGCGGCGAAACGATGCCAAGCCACCTGGGGGCAGCTGGAGCGCCTGTTCCGAGCGTGCAGTCTCTCGATGCAGTGGAGCGACAAGCACACGAACCAAGCAATAGTGTACATCATCACAGCCACGGCAAAATCTTTGAAGTTTAACTTCGCCAGGGTACGAGATAACCCATCTGGCAAACAACAAGGATTCGAATCTTTGAAAGCAGAGATCATGTTGTCGCGCTCCTCAATCGGCCGCCGAGGGTCGCAAAACGTCCAACATCGCCACGGTGCTGCGGCATACTTGCGAACGTGTCGCATCTCGATCTGGCCGATCTGGTGCATCAGCAATCGTCGTGCAAGGCGCGCCTCCGTCGGGCAGGTCGTGACCCAGACTGCGTGCGAGGCACGCTGTCTTTGCAATAGTCTGCACCGCGTGGTATCACCTCTAACGCATGAGGAAAGGTACTGCAGGCACCATATCAAGGGGCTCGCTGGCTCATACAACAAATCCATCAATGGCGGATACCCAACGAACGACCGAACTTTATTAGATGCTGCCATGAACCACAAAGTGAGGTACCTCGTAGGTTCCATTGCAACGCACAAACAAACGAACACATAATTCAACCAAGAATCGCTGACAACGCGATCCGCTCGCTTGTACCTGGTGCCCTGGGTGGCCACCCATTGGAACGACTCGCGCAGCGACGGGTCGATCTTCGCGATCTCATGCTCGGGGGCTGAACTGGTTTCTCGAAACTCTGCCGCGTCGAAGGATGAGTGCATTATCGAGGACAGTATGCCGCCGAACACAAACGACTTCACGAAGAAGGCAAGGGCGGGGTACAGTTTCTCCCACTTCCCCTGGGAGGGCACCGCGGGCAGATGCGGGAAGAGCATGTTCAGAACAGCGGTGGCACCTGTGTTGACAACATCCTCCCTGGAGAGGCGCCTGCCGTCATCGAACACTTCCAGGATGCCCCGAAGCCAGAGCCGACCGTTGAACAGACTGAAAAACGAATCGTACTGCTGCCTCAAGGCGGCCAGGGCCTTCTCTGATCGAGAGGAGGACTGGGTGAACCGATAATCGCATTCCAAAAACGACCGAAATGCGGCCGCACACGAGCGGGCCTCTGGTGGAGGAGGGCCGACGCGAATCAATACCATATCATCGACTGCCTTCCTGACGCTGCAAATCAGTCGAAGGAAGTGGCCCTGCGATCGGAAGAAGAATTGCACTGTAGAGGGCGTTCGATCCGTTCAAAGACTTGGATCCAAGACGCTCGTACATCGATATGGCGACGGATTGCATCTCTCCGAGGTGGTTGGCGTGATTGCCGCAGAGCAAATGCGCGCTGCTCACATCCCGTACGTGCGCAAACATTCTCTCGTTCGCCGTGGCAGCATCACTTTCGTAAATCTTGAACACAGGTTTTGAAAGGCGTGCCAACTCTGAACAGGCCGCTGTAAATATGAGGCGCAGCATTGGGAATCAAGGGAATGGGCGGCATGACGGGTTCGTAGCTCATGACGGGGTGCTGGGAGGTCGGGCGCCCAGGGGAAAACCAACCCCAAGCGAAACGAATGCGCGAGGCAAGCACTTGCCACGTCGCTACTTGGCTGGAGCTCCCCAGTTCCGCGACGGGTGCCAACACCAGGCGCTGACCAGTCTCGTCCCATAAACAACTCCGCACGCACCAATCTGGAGGCCTCGCCCGAAGACAATTAAGAAGCCACCCCCACATCAGAACCTCTGTCGCTAAGTACGCCTCAGCCACGACGTCTCTCACTCGCCTCACGGTCCTGGGGTCGCAAGACCAAGTGCGGGCGAGAGCTTTGTGGCATGGCGTCTTCTCCAAAAGCAGATCCATCATTTGCTTAACAGTGAAACGCTGCCGACCTTTCAAAGCCAAACCAATCACAATGCTCAAATCGCCCTGCTCGTTGCTGCTCCGAAAATGTATGGCCGCCCTCGCAAAATGGTTAAGGATAGACGTAACATTGTCAACGTGTCTGTCCACTGCCCGTTGGGTGTTACTTTTGGCCCTCCGCAAATGCATCATCTGGCTATAGCGCCCCCACTCCTCGTGGGTCCGTCGAGACGGGTGTTTGAAACGCTGATTCTTTGAATGATTCGGGGTGCGAACCGCAGCCTTTTTCACAGGAATCGTTTTCTGTCTCTGCGGGTCATTGGCCCTGGCCCTGGCTGGAACGCGTGAACGAACAACAATTCTGCTTTCAACATCTGGCGCGGGCACGCCGGCGACGGCCTCGTCGCCGAGGCGATCTGCAAGGAAACTCATGCATGTGCAGCCACAAATTATTCGTGCCGAGTGTCTATAGCTGTTCGACCAATGGACAGGGACAGGACGCAATACGTCTCCAAGACGGCCCAAGAAGGCGCCAAGACTCCCCAATACGTCTTCAAGACGGCCCAAGACGGCCCAAGACGTCTCCAAGACGGCCTCCAAGACGGCCCAATACGTCTCCGAGACGGCCCAAGAGGCCCAATACGCTCCAGACGGTTCATGATGATGATGATGGTGATGATGGTGATGATGATGATGATGATGATGATGATGATGATGATGATGATGATGATGATGATGATGATGATGATGATGATGATGATGATGATGTATGCTACGTACGTCGATTGCTCGATCGGCATACGGGCGAGCGGGGTAAACAACCCGTCAATGACTTCATGACGCTATGATGCGGGGATACGTCGCCACGGCCGCGGGGGGAGGGGGGCAACCGTTGCGACTGAGCCTGAGGAAGGAGGAAGAAGGAGTGGGAGGAGGAAAAAATGAGGAGGGCAACTTGATTTTCTCATAACGTACTGAACGTACTTACAAGAGCCCCTCGTCCGACGTGGGGCATGATCCACATTTTGGCCCGCATTGGTCGCATTTCGACTCATGCTCTCAAATCAACAAGATAGCAACATAACGGGGAAGTGCAAATTCTACGCGTTGCGAAGCTGGGGTGTTGCAAAAAGGCTGTTTGTTGCAAAACCGCGGTTTTGCAACAGGCCTTTTGTTGCAAGTTGGCCTTGTTGTCATTACAACAGAAATCCTTTATTCATTGCAAACCACGATATTCTATCATCTGCGCCACCCTCAAGGGATGAAGCAAAACCTGCTGCTGGAGTCGTCCCGAGACGTCCGCAGTGTGACGCATCAAAAACGAAAGGCCTAACTCGCGATCTCTACTGTCCTGCCTTCGCTCCTTGCCTGCATGCAAGCAAGCGCAAGCTTTATATTGAGAAGCCCGTCATCGGAATTGCAAGCCCTAGGATCAAGCTCTCCAGTCCTACACGACTTTATGAAACTATCCATCTCAACGAAGAAAGTTGCCAGGTAGCGGTCGTAGTGAACAGCGAGCAGACCGTGATTGACTCCATCAGCTGATGAACACTGCACTTCTGTGCGGCTCATCGGGCCGGCCTTCACACTTCCTTCTGAACCGATGATTTCCACCTGAGAGTCACAACCATACACGGCGAAGCGGAGGTTCTCAATCCAGCCTACTGCTCCATTTGCAAACTTTATACAAGTGACTGCGGTGTCAATGTCCCCGAATGATTCGAAAACAGGGTTCACGGTCACGGAGCCCATCACATTCACATGCGTGGGCCGGCTGTTAGCAAGGAAACAAATCAGGTCCAGATCATGGCAGCTCATGTCGAGAAATATACCGCCAGAAGTTTTGTAGTAACTATCTGAAGACTTGCAGCCGTCGAAAGATCTCACACGAACCATTTGCATCTTGCCAACTTTTCCGGCGTGAGACTTGACACCTTCCCAGGCTTTATCGAAGCGCCTCATGAAACCAACCTGACAAAGGACGCCTGCTGCCTTGATTGCACTTGCACACTCAATGCCCTCTTCAACAGTCAAAGTAAAAGGTTTCTCCACAAATATGTGTTTCTTGGAAGCTGCAGCCTCAAGTATGTTGCTCTTGTGAAGGCCAGCCGGCGTCGCAATGACCACGGCGTCTGCATCAGGGTTAGCTTGCAAGGCGCTGGCCAACGCATTGTAAAAGGATGCGCCACATGCGGCAGCCAATGTTGATGCTGCCTCTTCCATCGGGTCTACCACTGCGACAATGCGACACCCCTCGATGCTGTTCAGACTATCTGCGTGATATTTACCCATTCGGCCAGCACCCACGAGAATCCGCCACTGTGCAGTAGGCACTGATTGGAGTGTCCACGGGTCCCCTGGAGCCGCATCTATTGAATATTAGCCAGCGCGAACTCAAAACAGCATATCTCTAAGAATAGATGTTCCCTACCTAGGCTCTGCCTAGAAGGGTTCTTACTCTCTGGGCTTAAAAAGGCCGGGCAGTGGAAAGCGCCCCGGGCGGTTCCCCCAGTACCCGACCCGCGGTTCCCCCAGTTGCGTCCCCTTAGCTTAGCGTTGCTTATCTCATCTTAGCTTAGCTTATTTCATCTTAGCTTAGCTTAGCTTCATCTTAGCTCAGGTGTATCTTAGCTTAGCTTACCTTCATCTTAGCTTCGCTGAGCTTTAGCATAGCAGAGCACAGCATAGCATAGCATAGTGTAGCATAGCATAGCGCAGCACAGCATAGCATAGTATAGCCCAGCATGGCATAGCATAGCGCAGCATTGCATAGCATAGCATAGCATAGCATAGCGCAGCACAGCACAGCACAGCATAGCACAGCGCTACATAGCATAGCATAGCATAGCAGAGCATAGCATAGCATAGCAGCAAAGCAAAGGCAAAGCAACAGCAGCGACAGCAAAGCAAAGCACAAGCAACGCAAAGCAAAGCAAAGCAAAGCAAAGCAAAGCAAAGCAAAAACAAAAGCAAAGCAAAGGAAAGGCAAAGAAAAAGGCAATGTGCGACAGATGCCGAGTTAGCATGGGTGTAATTCCCTACGTAGGCTCTGCCTAGAGGGTTAGCTTAGCTTAGCATAGCGCAGCGCTGCATTAGCATAGCATAGCATAGCATAACATGGCCAAGCATAGCATAGCATAGCATAGCATAGCATAGCGCAGCACATCATATCATAGCATAGCCCAGCATGGCATAACATAGCGCAGCATAGCATAGCATAGCATAGGGCAGCACAGCACAGCACAGCATAGCACAGCGCAGCATAGCATAGCATAGCATAGCATAGCATAGCATAGCACAGCATAGCATGGCATAGCATAGCATAGCATAGCATGGCAACTAATGCTGCTTTCCTAGGGGCTCCAACTTCTAGGTAGGGACGCACTGGGGTAATTCTGCCATATAGGAGGGGCAGTCTATGTTGTGCAATCTTTGTGGTGCAATATATGTGGTGCAGTGTGTTGCGCAATGAATGTTGTGCAGCCTGTGGTGCAAATGATGTTGTGCCATCTATATGGCAAACTATATCGTGCAGTCTATGTGAAGCACCATACATATACGAATACATATATATATATGCATAGATCAATCAACCGATGTGATGCATGGTACGTGGTGCAACCGTTGATGTGATAGATTGGTTGTGCCATTGATGTGTTGCAATCTACACTGTGCAAGATATGTGTGGTGCAATATATGTGATGCCATATATTTGGGGCATCATCTGTGGAACATTATGTGTGGTGCAACCGAGGTGGTAGAACGCAGGGGGATACAACAGGGAGGCGGTGACGGGGCGGCGACGGGGCGGCGACGGCGACAACATAACCGCCAGACCGCCAGCCAGGCCCAGACGACGGGCGGCGGCCAGGCGGCGACGGGGCGGCGACGGCGACTGCATGGCCACCAGACCGCCAACCAGGCTCACTTTCCCTATACAAACAAATAATAAAGTCTCAGTGCAAGCACCGTTTGACCAACGCAGAGAAAACAGCAATGCAAAGCAATGCAAATCAACTTAAAGCAACGCACGGTAACGCAGAGAAAGCAATGCAAACCAATGCAACGCAATACAATGCAAAATAGCGCAAAGCAATGCGAAGCAATACAAAGCAATGAAAAGCAACACAAAGCAATGCAAAGCAATGCGAAGCCAGAGCGGCGCGCAGGCCCAGGCGACGGGCGGCGACAAAGCGGCGACAGGGCGGCGACTGCGGCGACGTGGCGGCCAAAGTGCCAGATCGGCCCAGGCGACGGGCGGCGACAAGGCGGCGACAGGGCGGCGACGGCGGCGACGTGGCGGCCAGAGCGCCAGACACGCCCAGAAGACGGGCGGCGACGAGGCGGCGACGGCGGCTGCATAGCCGCCGTCCCGCCAGACGGGCCCAGGTCTCCTAGACTATACGTAAGAACCCCTGCGCACAAGCACCGGCTGGGAATTGTTGCAAACGAAGGCCCCCAGGGCCTGGATTCTAGGGCCAAGTGGGACGTTTCTGGGGTTCGTCGCACGACTTCTTCTGGGGCTTAAGGAGCGTGGCTCGGAATCCAAACTTCCCAGGGGCGTCCTAGCGCTGTCTTGTGGGCCTCTTCCTCCGTCTTGGAAGCCGTGGGGGCCAGCGCAAGAGAACAAAATCCTTGAGACGCATGCGGCGTGCGCCTGATATTAGTATGTTCGCCCAAGAGTATCCGAGATCGCCCACGAGGCCCCAAAATCGCCCCAAGACGAATCCGAGCACCAGGATGGGCCCAATAGGCACCCAAGAGCCCCGAAGAGGAGCCCAAACCAGCGGCCCTCCCCAGCAACATGGCCCCCGTGGACCGCAAGCAGGCCCTCCAAGGCACTCGCATCAGAAGGCTCCAGAGGGCCCCAAGACGCACGCACGAGCCCAAGAGGCCCTCCAGGAGGCCACGAAAGGCCCTCGAGCCTTCAAGACACCCCCAAGAGGCACCTGGAGAGACCATAAGAGGCATCCAGAAGGCATCTGATCCACGGCCAGGGCACGGTGGCGGGATGGGCCGAAGGCCCGCCGCCCCCTTTTGATTTATCAAAGGAGTGCCTGGCGTGCTAGACTATTACGGTTTGGGTTTTGGCTCTTTTTCCCAAAGAACTCCCCCTGGGGCTTCGGCCCGTCCCGCCAGCCACCCGGAAGGATCTTCCAGAGGTGGTTGCAAAGGGTTTTTCCGTTCCAGACGGCTCCAAGATGGCCTAAGATGGCCTCCAAGACGGCCAAGATGGCCTCCAAGACGGATAAGATGGTCCCAAGATGCCTCCAAGATGGCCCAAGATCCACCCAAGACGGCCTAAGATGGCATCAAGATGGCCCAAAACGGCCCAAGAGGCTCCCAAGAGGCCTCCAAGACGGCCCAACGGAAGGCCCGAAGAAGCCAAAGTTATTGATTTCCCTGAGGAACGCAGGATTTTGGCATTTGCGCCTTTTCTGCTGTCCGACAGCCCAAGACGGCCCAAAAGGCCCCCAAGATCGCCCAAGAGCCCCCAAGAGGGCCCCATGACGGCCCAAGTGGCTTCCAGGACGGCCCCAAGAGGGCCCCAAGACGGCCCAAGAGGCCTCGAACACGCCCAAGATGGCCTCCAAGACGCCCAAGATGGCCTCCAAGACGGCACCGAAGCGCCCCAAGAGGGCCCCGAGTCGGCCCAGAAATGCCCCCAAGACGGCTCCCGACGGCGTCTGACGTGGCCAGGAACCCACCAAGATGGCCGAAGTTGGCTCGAAGCTGGCCCAAGACGGCCCAACAGGCCTCCAAGAGGGCCTCCAGGAAGGCCCGAAAAGGCCAAAAACATGCATTTCCCATAGGTTTTCAACGGATTTTGACATTTGCTTAGTTTCGGCCCTCCGACGGCCCAAGACGGCCCAAGAGCCCCCAAAGATCGCCCAAAGATCGCCCAAGAGGCCTCCAAGATGGCCCCAGAACGGCCCAAGAGGGCCCCAAGACGGCCCCAAGAGGCCCCCAAGATGGCACAGGAGGCCTTTAAGGCTCCCAAGGTGGCCTCCAAGACGGCCCTGGAGCATTCCAAGAGGGCCCCAAGTCGGCCCATAGAGGACCCCCAAACAGCTTCCGACGGCGTCAGACGGACCAGGAGCCCACCAAGACAGCCGAACATGGCCCTGAGATGGCCCAAGACGGCCCAAGTGCCCCCAAAGATCGCCCAAGAGGCCCAAGACACGGCCCCAAGAGGCCCCCAAGACGGCCCCAAGAGGCCCCCAGGACGGCCCAAGAGGGCTCCAAAACGCTCAAGATGGCCTCCAAGACGGCCCAAGAGCCCTCCAAGACGTCCTCCAAGAAGGCCCGACAGGGTCAAAATGGCCTCCAGACGGCCAAGATGACCTTCAAGATGCCCACGTGTTCCCCGAAGGCTTTCCAAACCGATTCGGGGAACACATGGTCCGATAGCTTGGCAGGTCTGGCCTCAACGTTCGGCCACATAGGCGCTTCCAAAAAGGCAGGGGGCGGCGGTGATTCGCCGTAGGCGTCTTCGATCCGCCGTCCCCTTTTGATTTATCATAGGAGTGCCTGGCGTGCCGAATCCTATCGGTTTTGGTTCATTTTCCAAAAAGAACTCCTCCTGGGGCTCAGGCGCGTCCCGCCGGGGTCCAGGGAGATTGCCGAAAATTGCTCCGTCGTCGCCTTTGTTGCCCCAAGATGGCCCAAGATGGCCTCCAAGACCGCGAAGATGTCCCAGGATGGCCTCCAAGATGTCTCCAAGACGGGCAAGGTGGTTTCAAATATGGCTAATATGGCCCCAAGATGCACCCAAGACGGCCCAAGATGGCCTCAAGATGGTCTAAGACTGTCCAAAAGGCCCGCAAGAGACCTCTAAGACGGCCCAAGAGGTCTCCAAGAGGTCCTCCAGGAGGGCCCGACGAGGCCAAAATCATTGATTATCCTTAGGTCTTTGGAGGATTTGGGCATTTGCGCCTTTTCGGCTTTCCGACGGCCCAAGACGGCCCAAGAGGCTCCCAAGATCGCCCAAGAGGCCCCCAAGAGGGCCCCATGACGGCCCAAGTGGCCTCCAAGACTGCCCAAACAGAGCCCCAAGACGGCCCCAAGACGGCCCAAGAGGCCTCGAACACGCCCAAGATGGCCTCCAAGACGCCCAAGATGGCATCCAAGACGGCCCAGCAGCGCCCCAAGAGGGCCCCAAGCCGGCCCAAAAAGGCCCCCAAGACTGCTCCCGACGGCGTCAGACGTGGCCAGGAGCCCACCAAGATGGCCGAAGTTGGCTCGAAGCTGGCCCAAGACGGCCAACAGGCCCTCAAGAGGGCCTCCAGGAA